TGTATAAAACTGTAGAAATATATATGAATACTTGGTTTTTATGTGGAAACCTGGAAGGAAGAAAATCACGAGATTTTTTGAGCTAATGTCCAAATTACTCTCATTTATTACTCTCTCCTTACATTATTACATTGTATAAAGCTCCTGTTGGGGTAATGGCTCAACCAGGGGATCGGCCTATCAACCCCTCTATCGACGAACGTTTAGGCCCAACAGAGGCTTAATGTCGGACGAATGTCGCCCAAGCACCAAGGCCCACTAAGGGCAATCATCCATCGCAACCTAAGGCATAACCGACGTGCGTCCCACCAGGGATGCTCGGCCTCAGAGGTCCTAGCCCCAAGGTTAGCCGGTATACTCCTACATCGACAACCAGAAGACGCACGGCTCTCCACCCTTGATAGCATCACCAAAGAAAGGCTCAGGGCTTGCGGGGACGCTCGTCTCCAGGCTTTGGGCGGAAAACCAATATTCAGGCGGGAAGCGCATTTAATGCTGGAAATTTGGAGGTTGAGACCACAACCATCCACAGCTCTCCACACCAGCATATCCATCTGCCCCTTGGTAGTATAAATAGTAGCATTTATTTCATTATAAAGGGTTGACAACATAACCGCATAGCATTCTAGCATTCTTACCACTCTTAAGCAGTGTTCGTAGCTCTTCTCCTAGTAAGACAAACGAACAGCCGTTGGCCAGGTAGCATTAGTGTGTTGTAACGAATCCTTGTTATCACTTAATAAGATACGACACACTATTACAAATACATTTTAGCCCATCTTACTTGCTAGCACTCTATATTCACACCCACTCTTCCACTCGAAATCCATAGGTTGCGTGTTGGGCCTACGGGTTGAAGGAATAAACCTCAACACTGGCGTCGTCTGTGGGAAACTAAACTAAAAGTTTCCAGAACACAATAATCTCACCAAACAGCTACTCAAAAAACTCTTCTTAGCAAGAAAGATGGCAGGAGACAACAACCAACGATCACACGACCTCTCTGACCAGCAGGAGTAGGTCGAGAGGACAGACCACAGGACACTCCGAAACTCTGTGGTCCGCAGGGGGTGGTGGCGATATCACCAACCTCATCCCCCAGGCAGCCAGGCAAGACCCTCGGGTCATGAGGGAGCTGAAAGATCCCATGCGCCGCCTCGCAGACGAGCAGGGGGCTCGGGAGCATGTGTTCTATGCAAAGACCCATCACACTCCTCTCTCACCGATCCGACAAATGCATCCGTTCGATGAGCGAACGGCAGAATCTGATGGCCACCGTCTGTCTGTCCACACACGGATTGGCGGAGTGCCGCCCTCCCAGGACATGGGGTCCACACTGGTGTAGACGCCACCCGGTATGGGAGGCACAATGATACACGTGCTCACACACCGAACGTCCCCCACGGACATCAGGGAGGGGGGATGACCCCCACAGCTAGGAACATAGGGCACCGTTGTCCCTAGGGGTGGGCAAAAATCCCGGTCCCGATGTCCCAAACCGAAAAATCCCGATACCGTTCCGAAACTAGGCCGATCCATTTAGGATGCAATTTTTTCATCCCGAACCGGTCCTGCACCGATATTGAACGAGACGGGACCGGGATAGCTATAAAATATCATGTTCCGTCCCAGTGTCCCGTTTGAAATTAATATGTTATTTTAAATTTCTAATGCTATGTAATAGTCAAACTCAATTAAAACTTTCTAGTCCTTAGTCTCCCTAGTGTAATTTTATCTTATTTCATGTCTCATTTCTTTTGTTTCTTTTGATTAAAATTTGTTTACTTCTCATTCCAATACTAATCCATAATATATTATTACGTGCGGAATACTATTTATGATGGAATAACTACTACTCCAAATTATAGTGTTGTTACAGATTTAATATTTTCTAAAATAACTACTAGAAAATATATATAGTGTCTTTATAGATATGATATTTTATTGAATGTGGTACTGAAAAATTACAAGTGTACTACAAAGTATAAAAATATTTTGCGCTGCTATTCTACTAGAGGAAACACAAGATTAGGGGGACCAAAAAAAATTACAAGACAAAATTGAAAATAGTCAATTAAAGGTTTTACTTAACTTTTTGGGGAAGCTAAATTTGCAAAAATAGTTACATCTTTATATTGATGTTATGCTTATTTTTATATCACATTTAACAAATGCATATTAATGGGACATCCCGAACCGTCCCGGTTTTTCTCGGGTTGTCCCGGTCCCGTTTTAAATGGGACAACATTGGGATAAAGACTTATCCCGTACCGAACCGGACCGTTGTTATAAAACCGGGACGGGATCAGGATAAGCCAAATCCCGGACCGTCCCGGACCGTGCCCACCCCTAGTTGTCCCCGCCGTAGACGAAGAACCAGAGCTACCAGAGGTGCTCGTCTTCCCTGAGGAATGAGACTCCAAACCAGAACTGGAGGAAGAAATAAAACCTGTGCTCGAGGAGATCTCTATCGAGCACACCATTGAGAGAATAAAGGAAATTGGGGAAAGAAGAACCAAAAATTGGAAATTACCTTTAGGACTGGAGGAAGGCGAGCCGAAAAACAAAAGGCACTAGTAGCAAGACACTTGCAGAGCGACGAGCACTCGAGAGCAAGACCAGAAATTCGGAAACTCTAGTCTCGCCAAAGGACTTGGTATTTATAGGAGGAAGCACCGCTTCACAAGACAAATGGGATGACCACACATGGCGAGGAGCATATCCAACGACACGTGTCGCACAGAGGACAACAGACACTTGGAAGTTGCACCGACTCTGCAACGGCCATCACCTAGGGTTCCGCGAACCGTCGTCAACAAGCAACTGTCAGGTCTTCAAAATCCTGCTCGACGGAGATACTTTTACTTCCTTATGTCCCGCGCACACTCAGAACATCAGAAATGGGGGACTTGGGTTGGGGTAATGACCCAACAAGGGGATCGACCCATCAACCCCTCTATTGACGAACGTTTAGGCCCAACAAAGGTTTATTGTCGGACGAACGTCGCCCAAGCACCAAGGCCCACTAAGGGCAATCATCCATCACAACCTAAGTCATAACCGACGTGCGTCCCACCAGGGATGCTCGGCCTCAAAGGTCCTAGCCCCAGGGTTAACCGGTATACTCCTACATCGACAGCCAGAAGACGCACAGCTCTCCACCCTTGATAGCATCACCAAGGAAAGGCTCAAGGCTTGTGGGGACGCTCGTCTCCAGGCACTTGGCGGAAAACCAAGATTCTGGCGGGAAGCGCATTTAATGCTGGAAATTTGGTGGTTGAGACCACATCCATCCACAACTCTCCACGTCAGCATATCCATCTGTCCCTTGATAGTATAAATAGTAGCATTTATTTCCTTATAAATCATTGTCAACTTACCCGCCTTAGCATTCTAGCATTCTTACAACTCTTAAGCAGGGTTCACAGCTCTTCTCCTAGTAAGACAGACGAACGGCCGTTGGCCAGGTATCATTAATGTGTTGTAACGAATCCATTTAATTACTTAATAAGATACAGACCACTATTGCAGATACATTTTAACCCATCTTACTTGCTAGCACTCTATATTCACACTTACTCTTCCACTCAAAATTCATAGGTTGCGTGTTGGGCCAACGGGTTGAAGGGAATAAATCTCAACAGCTCCCATTAATGGAGGTTACAACCCCCCCAACCAACGGCCATATAGCTGTTCTATACTTCCTCCTTCCCGTTGAAAAGTTCTCATGACAAAACGACACAATTATTTAGGCAATTATTTTGAGAAATAATTTTAATAAGTATATAATATAGTGAAGTTAGTATTGATAACTATAATGTTATAAATGTATTATTTTTAATATTTAATGACTAATTCGTCATTTAAAATTGTTAATTGTTTTCCTAAAATGAAAATGAGAATCATATGGGACATTCCAAAAAAGGAAAATGGGGAAACTTTCTATGGGATGGATGAAGTATCTCTTACTAAAGGAGGCTATGTGCCCCACCCCTTTATTTAAAATAAAAATAAAAATAAAGTAGCCATGGGGACAGAAACGGGGATCGCCTAGTCTTGTACTCTTGTCCCCAAAATACATACCCGGGACCGGGCCGTCAATTACCTAGTTGAGTACCCGGTCTTGAACCGGGACCAAAATTAGGGACCCAATTCGGTCCCACACAATATCGGACACGGTTCCGGATTTGGCCGGACCAAGTCCACCCCTGGAATCAAGTATTAAAATTTAGATCTCACAATTAATGTTTTTACATCATTCAGGTTTGAAATAAAAAAACATAAATAAACCTAGACTTCATTTATTTTTATATCGAGATGTTTGGGGTTTTTAATCACATTTATTCATAAAAATTATTGACATTGACAAAACTCATAAATAATAATAAAAGTAAGAATTTAATTAAAATAAACAGTACTGAGTGAATTTATTGATGGTGCTGGATTATAACATTGACAAAACTCATAAATAATAATAAAAGTAAGAATTTAATTAAAATAAACGATACTGAGTGAATATATTGATGGTGCTGGATTATAAGAAAAAACTGAAAATTATGGGGTAAATGCTTAACATCTATATAATGTGGTTGAGAATTTAATATATTAACAGAGCAGGATTGCAACCAACCTAAAAGAGGGAATAAATAAATGTCAAGACATTTTTTTTGGGCTGAACTTTCTAGTCTCTTAAAATGTATGTTCAATATTTAATGTTAAAATCTTTGATTGGGATAAATTTCGCAACTTTAATCTCCTCTTTAGGAGAGTCATAGTGATACTATCGAGACTTGTGAATTACTTAATATCTGATGAAACAATTTTCTTGTAAAATTACAAAACCCTAACACAGAAAATTAGCCATCTTTTAATTTATCTGTTAAGAAGAAGTAACCACTTGATCAGCAATTTCTTAAACAACCAAATCCCACCAACACATTTCATTAAAACTTAAAATCATTGCATCAATATAATACAAGAGTAGTAGTAAATATTACACTCCCTCTCCTAAAACAATCCACATTTTCCTCTTCCTTCCCAAATATATTCCTCAATTTCTTGAAAGGAAAGCATTATGCACCTCACTCTAACGCTTTCTCCTGTATAATTTTTAACCACGCATAATTTATTAATCACCAAACCCAGTAAAGTTGGTTAATTTGGAAGTAGGAGCAATAATCCTTTATACTTAATAGCGATACAAATTCATCTGCAGCGTTTATTTAGAAATGATCTTGACCGTTCAGTAACCTTCTTCCTCTTTGACACGTCGACGCCCTTTTCCCAGATGCATTTCAGTCCCTCTTCTTCATTCGCTCACCGGTTCGCCTACTTTTTCTTCTACCATTGTATGCATTTCAGATCCCAATTCCTCCATTTCTTCACTCTTTCCATTATATGGTGTTCACACAGCCATAACTCAGACGGTCTTCTTATTCTCCATCCTTGCTCTTTTCTGATGAAGAACAACCCTTCCTCCTCATCTACTACTATTCTGATTAGGACTGAGGAACACCGATGAAGCTAAAGTCAATACAATCAAACAAATTAAATCAGTGAGGCTCAAGCTTTTGCTTTTAGTTTTTCCTGATTTTTGCATGTTCTATTCATTCATTACAAATTGAATCGATTCAAGATTTGTTTTGTAAATATAATCGATTCAGTTATATTTGTAAACTCAGATTTCAAATTCAATAATTATGGTTTGTCAAAAACATTATATGGAGTATAATCAACTCAGATTTGTATAGTTCAAATAATTTAGAGAAAAGGTTGTCTAAAAATTCTGTTTTCTGTTTTAATTAATGGGTTTAACACCAGTACTCAATTCAGTATTTCGTGTATTTCCCAATTAATATAATGCTCTTTTTTATTTTGTTCACATTCTATTGCATTTCTTATTACTTTCAACATCTGATTGTATTAGGGTTCTATTATTTTGTATTTACTCTTTGTATTGAAAAGGAGGTATTCATCGCAAGAATTAAGAAATATTGGGAAAAAAAATATGTAAATTCCATTTGCTAAAACTAATACTTCCTCCGTTTCTTAAAATTTACGACATTAGGATTTTCGAACTATTCACAATCTTACTTTGACTACGATTTTCTAATAGTATATATAATCAAATTATTATGTATAAAATGTTATTAAATTTCTATTAATGTAAACTTTTAAAATATCAACTTTTTTTAATGTTTACTACTACTACCTTCGCCCCCTAAGTTTGGGACAAGAGAATGTGACACAGTTATTAATAAAAGTGGGTTTATGTGTTTGATATTGAATTGATAAAGTAAGAATAAAGTAGAAATGATTTACAACCACACAAACTTTACAAAAGTATGAGACAATCTTAGTGGGATGAACCAAAAAGGTAAAATGGGAGTATGAGACAATCATAGCGGGACGGAGGGAGTAAAATGTAATTAAATATAATTACAGTCAAAGTTGTGAATTAGCAAACGTGAAAATCAAATTGTTCCAACTTTAAAGAAATAGTATGAGTTTCACACTAACCAGTTAACTTTATCGTCAATTAGCTTCGTAAACTGAAACATATCTTTTTTAAGTGATATGGGGTTACTTTTTTTTTAACGGAGTGATATGGGGTTACTTATAAAAAATAAGATTGTTCTTTATTTGCCATATATATCTGTAATACAAGAGTATTTTGCGAACAATGCATAAATAAAAACAAGAAAAATATGATTAATTTATATAAATAATGCAGTTAATTTATTCATGGAGAGGCCTATAAATCTTTTAGAGATTACATGTAATCATCCACATACTCATTTTATGTTCTTGGCTTTACTCCAAAGCATGAAATTTAAATGGTCTGAAGCCCCAAAAATATACTATATTTTCATCCCGTGCAACGCACGGGTGGAAATACTAGTAATAATAATAATAATAATAATAATAATAATAATAATAATAATAATAATAATAATAATAATAATAATAATAATAATAATAATAACCGTAGCCGTAGCAACCATAACCATAACCATATTAGTAGTAATAGTAGACAATTATTTAGAATAGGAAAAGGTCAAAATGCAGCCCGATATAAGAGAATAGATAAGTCCTCCATAGTGAACAAGACTTGGAAAAAACACAGAACATGAAAACTTGCAAAAAGAATCACCTTGTCAAAAAAATTGCAGTCGGATTTCCAGGAGTGGGAGGGTTCTGAATTAAGAGAGGGCCAAGGGAACCCGCTATAGAACGAGCGTAAGAATCAGTTGCAGACAAAATTTCCACCTCTTCAATGCCCATTTGTCCAAGCTGAAGCTTAATCAACTCCTTGTTCTCCTCCAAAATCTCAAACTCTCCAAACGGAAGCTTCAAATCCAACGCATGAACCCCAATTTCAACGGCAGAAACTCCGTTCTTGAATTTTAGGAACGGCATACACAGCTTTTGTGTTTCTTCAAAGTTTGCAGCCCCACCCACGCCACTCTTCTTCAATTCCTCCAAAATCTCCACATCTGGGTCGAAAGCACACATTTTCCTGTCAAACTTGCTTTGAAGGATTCTCAAGCAGTCTGCTTGCCACCCATCAAACTGCTCGTTAACGTATATTAAGCATTTAAATAATGACTTCTGATCCTCAGTAGTGATGGGTAGGCCCCCTTTTTTCTTGGACCCGCCTGAGATTTGTTTCTGGAGAAGCTTCCTGAACAGCTCGATGGAAGCTTGAAGATATTTATTGGCTTTCTTAAGGGTCGGGTTGGGGGTATCAGCAGCAGGCCAGCGCGATTTGACCACAAAGCCCCTGTTCTTCAAAATCTCCCGCCAGAGTGCCAGACGTACTGTGCATAGTGAGGGCAAATTGGGGTAATAAGACGAGTCTGAACATCCATGAAACGCAAAACCAGGTCAAGGTTCATCCCACTAAGAGTGCCTTGGGCATCCCTGGCAGTTTGAAGATGGAAAAACCCGGTCTTGAGAGCCTCACGAAACATGTAATCCTTGTAATTCTGCTCGGTAGTTATAACAGCAATGTTGATCTCATTCTCAAAAACCCGATCGGCAAATGTGGAGGCAGTGGTACCCGTCCTAAGAGATGATTTTGCAGCCAGAATCTCTTCCATCCATGCAATCTCCTTTGGACAGGATTAATTGGTCCGACCATGTTTCCACCATACGTGTCTCCATCTTGTAAAATGATGGAAACGGTGTAGTAGGCCATGTATATGGTTGAATCGGATAACGAAGGAATACATCATCCCAAGGGATTCGGGTCCCCAACCCAAAAGAACGAGAGCAGGCCCACTGGTTCAACCAACCCAGAGTGTGCTCAAATCCATGCTGGTTCTCATCAGAGTAAAGACTCATGCCAGATAAGCACTCCTCAGCCAGTTTCTTCCATTCGGGTTCCCCATAAGTGATGTACCATTGATCCGTAAGAGCTACAACACACTCATCTTCTGATAGATCTGGAGATTACTTTTTCCTCCGGTTCACTGTATATTATCGCCAGACCTTCCTCAATAAGTTTCGTCCTGATCAGCGGTTTGGCTTCATTCACTTTTCTCCAACAATCATTATTCCCTCTGTGAACCCCTTCAAGTATGTCATCTTCTTTGCTTCTGCCAGCTTTTCTTTCTCATTCTGGCTTTTGATTTTCAAATCAATGCAAACTTTTTCAGCTGCCTTGTCTCCGAGTTCCGGAATGTCAATAATGGGTATGATCTCAAAGGGAACGACCCACTCGTCCTTCACACTGAACTTTTCCCCAAGGGCAGGTTTTGACTTTAGGTCATGGAGAGCCATATAGTCATCACTGGGAACACTTGTCACTATTCCAGTACCTTTGTCGGTCAGCATTGGAAGAGCATATATGGTCTCATTGAGTGATAGAGGTGATTTTAAAGGAAGGCCGATCAGATCATGACCGTTGAGGTCAAGCAAGCATGTTGGCTTTTTAGGAAGCCTGGAGAAATTCTGATAAGCAAGGTTAAGAGCAGCCCTTTTGGTCAAAATAAACACATCAGTTTCACTGATTTCATAAGCTCCATATTTTCCATCGGGCAAAACCCAAGCGTTTGTCTGCCCGTACATTGTCTCCGGCCTCAAAGTTGCGGCAGCAAGGAAAACGTTTTTCCCATCCAAACATGGCCCAAACTTTTGAGGGAAAGGCTTTATGACTTCCATCTTGATGATAGTATACTCTTGGGGTTGGACCCCTTCACCTGTGGCCCTGTCATGATCTGCACATGGCTGATCATCCCTTGGGCTATAAATGGTGTAGCGGGCGTCTTTTACGATTTTACCCATCGCTTTCAGCTTCCTTATCTGCCACCGCACAAAAGAATCAAAAAACGGGTTCATATCAGTGGTAATGAATGATCTTCGCCAATCACACCCTAACCCCAAAGCCTTTAGGTCTTCCACTGCTACCGGAGGGAAGAATTTTAACCATTCATAGGGGTCTTGGAATCTCGGTATCTCACCATCCGAAAGACGAAAGTCCTTCATGATCTGCCATTGATACTTCTTTGGGCCCATTTTTGCCGCGGCCTTAGATTTCTTCCCTTTGAATATAGCATTATCCAGAGGTTGAGATTGTTGTGGTTGTTCCACATTTACTCGAATGTCTTCTTGTTGTTCTTCGTGAGGAAATACGGGCGGGTTCCCAAATTTTTGGATCTCACGTGCAAGCTTATCAGCTGAAGCTTTAATGGGCATACCGGTACAGTGGAAGGCAAAAGGCAATAGAACATTTGCACCGGTCAACCTATGATAAGCTGCAGCGAATTCAAGCTTCGAGAGGGAGAAAGCGTGTCCCAAGTGAAGAAAACCGTTCATATAAGGAAAAGGGAAGTTGCCAAAGAACTTATCCCCGGGTTGTGGAGGGGTTTCTCCAGGTTCAGCCAAGAATACATTGGATTGGTCCCACCAGTTTCGGACCTTTGCTTCAATTTCCAGGAGACGGTCTCTCCTAGCAGAGCTTTTCCCTTCAGCCTCTATTGTCATTGTTGCCATCCGGCAGAAACTGAGGATGGAATATAAGCCGTTGATTGAGCAGAACTGATACATAAATTGAATAAGAAACAAATACATGGAAACCAGAAGCATATATACATATACCTAAATTGGTTGATGGGGAATGCCTTAAAAAGGCAAGTGAGGTGGTTGCCTTGGTTCTGAGATTGAAGAACCTTGATAGTGTTTTGCAATCTAAAATGGAATGAAGGGTAGATATAAACAGAACTGGAATCAGCAAGTCATGCTCTTATGTCTGTTTTATCATACATTCACTTCAGGAATATGATGAAAGAATTAGACAAATATACCGCTTTTTATATAATCTTGAAAAAGAAATGACAAGCTTAAAGCTTTAACAACGTCCATTGTCTGAGGCCACAAGCATTTTCATTAGATTAGAGCAATGATTATTTCAAAGAGTGAACAAAATTACCATTGAGGCGTTGACATATGTTTTAAAGTGCATTAGTATATACTAGTATGTTTTAAAGGGCATTAGTATCTGATTCTATTCATATTTCTTCCATTCTAGTCTTCTACTTATTTTATTCATTTACATTCAATCAGAGTCTTCTACTCTAAAACTTCTTGCATTTTCATTAACTTATTTATTCATTTGTTTTGTTTATCGGCATTATTTCATAGGAGTTAGTTAGTAGAACATGGGTACATACATGATCAGGGGAGGATCTATGTTAGGGCTATGGTGGGCTGAAGCCCAGGGCAAAGCAAAAAAAAATAATTTTTTTAAGGTATTATTTTGAAATAATTCCATCTAGCCCACCCCGGGTTTTTGTATAGCCCAGTCCAATTTTTCAGCCTAGTCTATAAAACAAAATCTTACCATATAAAAATCTAATATAAATGTTATACACATCACCTCCCACTTAATAAGTGGCACTTAATTTATACGTATAATGGCCATAAAGCCCACAAAGCATCAATGTAATAAATACAATAAAATATGATTCAATTAAGAACTTGATTAGCATGTTCACATGAACTTGTAAAGTGTTTGAGTATCTTCAACAACATTAATTGCCCAAAAGTGAGTTCTTGGGCAAAAGTTTGTAGTGTATATAGACATTTTTCATGTTTTGAATTTGTGTTCGATTTACTTTAGTTTGTAGTGTATATAGACATTTTCATGCTTGGGACAAAATTTCTATGAAGGACCGACATGTGTACACATTTTGTGTACACATTTTGTGCACACCTAGCAAAACTCATAGATGGAAATGTTTTCATGAAGAAGTAAATGAGTTTTTCTCAAAAAATAAATTCATATATGCACCAGACTTGAATTCTTATTTCTAAATATATGGTTGGTCATTGCTGAAAAGAAACTACAATTGATAATCATTATTACTTTGATGTTTTCAATGAGGTAATATACTTTTATTCATGGAGTTAACGACCCGGTTTAATGATAAATCAGTGGAACTCCTTTGAGTGTTTCATTTGATCCAAAAAATTCATATGAGTCGTTCAATGTCGATGCTATTTGTACTCTTGTAAGAAAGTTTTATCCCGAAGATTTTAGTAGTTAGGACATTCGTGCTTTGAAATTCGAGCTGCAACACTATGTTCATGATGTGATTCATGATATCAAGTTTCAAGTATCTACACTTGTTGAATTATGTGAGGAATTAACTAAAAGCAAAAGGTGTGATTCATATGTTAAGATGACTAGATTGATTCACTTCGTATTGGTCTTATTGTTTCTACTGCAACAGTAGATAGAATGATCAGTTTCTGTCGTGAAACTTCTAAAGGCAACACTCTGCAATAAAATGGATGATAGTTTTCTTGCTGATTGCATGACACTTTACATTGAAAAAGATATTACTCTCAGTATAGATGTAGACTCTATTGTTGATGAGTTTTTTGTTTTAAAGCCTTGTCTAGAACAAATTTAGGGGATACCTTTTATATTTGATTTTTCGCTTATTTTGAAAAAAAATCAATGTATTATCAATTAAAATTTTCAGCTCAGCCCAACATTAAATCCTGGATCCGCCCCTGTACATGATATTGTTTATTCCTTTAGTGTTTGTTGGTTAGAGAAATGTTACTTTACCCCTGGTAATAAGATAGCTACACAACATAATACTATGGCAAAGCACACTTGATGTATTTGGTAGTGAATCAGTGGGAATATGATGTCACCATTTGGTTGATAGAAATGCTTTGGCAGAACACATGGAAGCTTATACTTTAGTCCACTAATGCATGGAAAAGATGTCAATTTTGTTTCGAAGGAGTGAACTTGTTGATTTTAGGAAAAATTCATAAGAATAATCCCAACTATCAACTCTCTTCTAATATTAATCCCTACAATTGATAATTCTAATATAATCTAAATTATAGGGTGTATCTTCTTGTATTAATCTTGTGACCTGCATAAACCTACTAAACAGGTCACTTTGCCATGTGGCTTGTTTTAATTGGGCTTCCTACTTTTTCAACTTATTTTCTTTTTCTTCTCTCCCCTTCCCGGTGAGTCTCCTCCTGCTCCCAGTTGGTATCCCTTCTTCTTTGCTGACTTCGAATTTTTCTTTTCAGTCCTCTGGATTCTCCTCTTATTCTCCAACTCCATTTTCTTCATTTGTTGTTCTGTTTTCTTTTCCTTTTCATTGGAAGCATCTCAAGTCCTTGGTCGAGCTTTGGACCTTTGGTAAGCCATTAGCATAGTGTTCTGTATGGTATTTTTTTTAGTTCGATCTTCGGTCGGGTCCTTAGCTTGTTCATGAGAAATAAATTACTCCGTACTTGAATTATATTTTTTGTTTCATGTCGCCGGAACTTCGTCGTGGCTTCGCCGGGGAAGACATCTGGAGTAATAAACTCGCTGATATCACTTGAAATTTGTCACGAGTGTTGTGCTTTATTGTCAATGCCCATCGATTAATTGCATCAGGAGGGAGCAAAGATGTGAAATAAACGAAATTATAAAAATTGTTGAGAAGAAATCAAGAAGCATGGCTATGGCTGCTATAGAATAGAACAGAATTGGGGTAAAGAAGCCGAGAAGGAAATTAAAAGAAAAAAAGAAAAAACTTAGAATAAAACTAGAGAAAGCCAGAAAGGGGGGAGGGTGAATGTCGATCCCCAAATCCCTGTGTTTTATTTTCTCTCACTTTTTTCTCATTTTTTTTTTACCTGCTTAGTAAGTAACAAGTCACCTAGGTTCAACATAAGAAGATTACATATGAAGTTGGTATTAAATTAGAATTACTCATATTTGAGATTAATATGAGAAGATAGCTAATAGTTGAGATTATTAGTGTGAATTTTTCCTTGATTTTATTCTTTTACCTATTCCCTAAGTGGATAAAATGCGACAAAGTGATCATCTTACACACTCTCAAATTGATTGTTTATATTCACTGTACTGCAACTGATAAAATTAAAAAAAATGCACTTGAGCAAGGAGTTGTTATATACTCCCTCCGGTTCTGATTCTCCTTTACAGTTTGACTTCACAGTTTTTAAGGAAATAAATTTGACTTTACTGTAGAGTACAATGTTTGACACTGTTTGACACTGTTTTGTGTAGATTTGTTTGCCAAATAAGGAAGTGTAAAGATGATTCTGGGACAGTCCAAATAGGAAAGTGTAAAGAAGAATCAGAACCGGAGGGAGTATATATTTTTGGAAAAATGAATGAGAAACTCAGATCAAGCACAAAAATAAATGGACAAAAAGATTCTAAAAATAATTTTTTTATCAGAAAGAATGTATAAAAAATCCATATGAACCAGATTACTGTGAAAACATGAGTACTGCCAAAATAGGAATCGTGCCTACATTTGTTGATGCCTAATCAATTTCACATTCCTTTGGTAATTACAGAGAGATGCAACAAAAAGATGGTATCGCATTGTCTTTGAGACTGATTTTTTAAAGGCTAAAGGGTCAAATAGTCCCTTGTACCTGTCCGTAATACTCAATTCGCCTCTTGAACTAAAAAAGCTCCAATTGGCACCCTGAACTGGATAAAAAAATTCAAATTTGACAATTTGCAGGTAACCATCCGGTCAACGCCACTGTGCCAACTGTGCATCTGAGGTCATGGTGCCAATTGGCACCCTGAACTGGACAATTTGACAATTCACCTTCATCAGGTCATGGTGCCAACTGTGCATCTGAGGTGGCAACTTAAGGGGTCAAATAAGCCCCTGAACCCAACCAAATTGTTCAATTCATCCTCTCAACCGTTAAAAAGTGTCAAAATTATGAGAGAGAAAAATAAAAAATAAAAAAGTAAAATATACAAATATAAAATATAACACAAGTTAAAAATCTAATATATATATATATATATATATATATATATATATATATATATATATTAAATGTTTATATTTTGTGATAAATTCATAATAGAAAATAAAATATACACTTAAAGAAATTCTTTAACTCTATTCTATATTTTATACCTATATTTTATATAAGAGAATAAACAATATATTTCCACCAACTATATTTAAAATTGTATTTTATGTAATCTATCTAAGATTTTGTTTTTTCGGTTTTTAGTTTGATGATTTACATTATGTTTATATTTTCAAGTTTTAATTTTTCATTTTGTATTATTATTTTATTTACAAAATAGATTAAAATATATTAGCTTGGTATAATTAGATATTAAAAGTATTTTATTTAGATGTAATTATGTTTTTTCAAAGTATACTAATTAGACTATCTATTTTATATTTATATAAGTAAAAAAGACATATAGAAGATTAAATTCCATACTTTGTAGTTTGTACTAATTATTTATACCATAAAAACTTTATACAGTACTATATAAGAAGTAAAATATAAATATATTAATAACATACTTTTATTATTTATTTAATATATATATATTTAAATTATAGTAGTTTTGTACATATTAAATATAGTACGTAGTAATTATGTGCACATTATATTGTATAAATTAAGGTGATACATATATGTGTGTATGTATGTTTGTACACATAACTTTCACATTTTAAATATAAAATATAAATAAAATATTTGGAAATAAGGGAAAAGAAATTATTTTAGTAATATTTTATTTTTATTTTGAATTAAATGCAAAATAAAAATATTTAATTTTTATATTTAATATTTTCGAAATGTATATTATTTATATTTGCATTTTGTATTTTTTCCCCGTAATTTTGACATTTTTTATTTGACCTGATGACGTGGCGCTGACCGGATGGTTACCTTCAAATTGTCAAATTTGAAACTTTGTATCCAGCTCAGGGTGCTAATTGGAGCGTTTTTTAGTTCAGGGGGTGAATTGAGCATTACGAACGTGTATAGGGGCCTATTTGACCCTTTAGCCTTTTAAAATCATGTAACAAAATGTAACCCCAAACAAAAAATGAAGGATAAAAAGATTTTCAAGGACAATGCTAAGTTGCTAATCCCTAGAACTTCTCCATGAAGATCCTGTAATAACTAACTGGCTAGGCCAGAAAGCTGCTAAGAACAAAAAAATCACTACCAACGGATACTAGGGACCAATTCAACACAATGAATACAGAACAAAAAGTATCATAACAACAGATACCTGATGCATGAAAAGTGAAAACATGAAATAACACATATAGCCCTATTAAAGTTGACTTATTTTCCTATATATCATTTAACCTTTTTATTTGTACATGTATGTAAGTTTAATATTATTCGTACGTAGATAGTTATTTGCATGGCACATGCAATGTTTATTTTCTCTCACCTATTATACATAGGCCCCTCTCATGTATTATATATATGTTACGGACTCATGCTAAATTATTAAGCAGGATGATTTCTCCATTGCTCTTCCAATCTTCTCTCATCTATTGTTAACAATATTATTTCACTTCTAATTTATATTTATATTTTTTATCATGGTATCAGAGCATAAATCCTGATAACAAGTTCTGTTTCCACAAATCTTCACGATTTCTTTATCATTTGGTAGCTATGGTGGTTGATAGGGAAACCACGGCTAGTTGTAATGAACCCGGCGATAAACATGGAGATTTATATGTTATTCCATTTCAACGCCAAAAAGAAGGCCGGTCATGCTCTTATTGTGGGAAAACTAATCACACATATGATACCTGCTTTGAGCGCAATGGCTATCCATCCTACTGGAAAAGCAAATATAAGGAAAACCATCTGGGAGGAGGAGCAAAAGCTCGTCAATTTTCTTCACGCATCATACGTGATAGTGGAGTGGCTCATGTGGATGGCAAAAACAACACTGATTTTGGTCTTTCTAATGAGCAATTACTCCAGCCAGCTCAAATTATGAAAAACCAATTACAAGACAAAGCACGCGTCTCTACTTCTTCTGATGTTCAGATAAATATGGCGGATACTTCATCCAAGGGTCGTTCTTGGATTATTGACTCTGGGGCAAGTGAACACATCATTTGTAATAATGATGGTCTCTTTAACATTCAGAATCGCACCTCCACACCAACCGTTAAAATACCTAACGGTGATTTAGCCATTGTTCAAGCTATCGGCAGTTTACAACTATTCAATGGATTCCGTCTACAACGAGTCCTCTATATTCCGGATTTTCAGTGCAAATTACTCTCAGTTAACCGTCTCATAAAGGATTGTAATTGCACACTTACATTTTTAATGATCTGTGTATTTTACAGGACTTATCCTCGAGGAAGCTGATTGGGGTGGGCAGATGTCATAATGGTCTCTATTACTTAGAGTCGCCAGAAAATAAGGGGGTGGCAATGGCAGTTTCAGTTAGTCTTGATTTATGGCATCAACGATTAGGACATGCATCAGACAACAGGTTACACCACATTGCCTCTCTTCAAGGACTAGAACGAACAAACAATTTTTGTGACTCTTGTGTACGCGCTAAACAGACACGCCTACCTTTTCCGGTCAGTACAATTAAGACAACTCGTTGTTTTGAATTAATACATTGTGACATTTGGGGAGGATATAAGTGTGAATCTATTACTGGTGCACGTTATTTCTTGACCATAGTAGATGATTTTACAAGAGGTGTTTGGGTCTATTTAATGAAGAATAAATCTGAAGTTCCCCAAATTTTGATTGGATTTTTTGAAATGGTTCATACCCAGTTCGAACAGCGAGTTAAAAGGATACGAGCAGACAATGGTGCTGAATTTCAAACCAACGTTTTACTCAATTATTACAGACAACATGGAATAATGTTGGAAACCTCATGCACTGACACACCTCAACAAAATGGTGTTGTTGAACGTAAGCACAAACATGTATTAGAGGTAGCCAGGGCCCTCCGTTTCCAGTCAGGCTTGCCTATTAATTTTTGGGGGGAATGCATTCTTACGGCGGCCTATATTATTAATAGGCTTCCATCACCCATCATCTCCAATAAAAGTCCTTATGAAATGTTATTTGAGAAATTACCATTTTATACACATTTACGAGTTTTTGGGTGTTTGGTGTATGCACACAATAACAAACAAAAGGACAAATTCGGCGAAAGGGGGAGTCCTTGCGTTTTTCTTGGTTACCCAAATGGACAAAAAGCTTATCGTGTATTTGATTTAGAAAAACATACCATGTATAATTCTCGGGATGTTACCTTCTTTGAAAATATATTTCCATTTAAGATGAAATTTAGTTCGGGACTCGACTTAAAGGATATGATTGAGCAAGCCTATGGTCAAATTATAAATCAGCATCAACACAAATTAGGGACCCAGGAGATTTTTACTCCCTCTTCCAGGTACGTAACACGTGATTTGCTTCCGGCTCCATCAATGGATAGTGGACATGGAGCAACAGACAGCCACATATTTACACCGCCTCATGAGAATCCGCCGATTAACGATGGCCCACCTGGACAACCGCTACATGAAAGAGACAGAGATATGGCGTCCTCTGGAAACTATTGCACCTGTGACTCATCATGATGTGGCTCTCTTAGATGAGGCCAATCATCCTGTATGCCAACCACATGGCCTCCAGCCATCCAATTTGGACTTTTGTTCTCAATCAATTGAGAGTCACCATGAAATGGTGGACACCCGTACAATACCCACTCATATGGATTTGAGTGTCACTCAGCAGACTCATATCATGCCTATTGATCCACAAGCCACGTCTAATCGGTCACCTGAATGCACAATATCTCAAAATGAGCCAAAATGTAGCGTAAGAGTTCGGCGGCCATCAACACGTCTATCTGATTATGATACGGACTTGCCACCCTCTCTTATTCATCGGTCCGCCGCCAATCACGCCAACTCTATGGTATATCCTATTTCACATTTCATTAATTATGATAAGTTTTCTCCCACTCATAAAGCTTACTTGGCAGCCATCACAGCCCGTGATGAGCCTAAGCATTTTTCCCATGCAGTCAGGGGCGGAGCTAGGGGGTGGCCACCCCTGGCCCTGGCCCAGCCTAAATTTTAAAAATCTCTATATTTTTAGTGTAAAAAATTCTGTGTAAATTTTTTCCCAAAAATATTCTTTGTACCGGCCCAGTCTGGCCCAGTGTCCTGGCTCCGCCCCTGCATGCAGTACAGGATCCACTATGGCGAGAAGCCATGCAAAAGGAAATTAATGCTCTCGAAGAAAATGACACTTGGACTCTTGTTCATTTGCCACCTGGGAAAAAGGCTATTGACTCTAAATGGGTTTATAAAATAAAATATAAACCTAATGGAGACGTAGAGCGTTATAAAGCAAGACTTGTTGCTAAAGGTTATACTCAAGTCGATGGAGTTGACTTTCACGAAACATTTGCTCTAGTCGCCAAACTTGTTACCGTCAGGTGTTTGTTAGCCATTGCCGCAAAACGCAATTGGATTGTCCATCAGTTGGATGTAAACAACGCTTTTCCTCACGGTGATCTTTCCGAGGATGTTTATATGCGTTTACCACAGGGTTTTGCCAAGCAGAGCGAGGCTCGTGTTTGCAAACTACAAAAATCTCTGTATGGCCTCCGACAGGCCTCTCGTAATTGGTATCATAAATTCACTCATGCGCTAGTCGGCATCGGCTTCCGTCAATCACGAGCAGACCATTCCTTTTTTATTTTTCAAAAGGGGCCGATTTTTACCTTTGCTCTAATTTATGTGGATGATGTAATTTTGGCAGGAGATGACCTTTCTCACATCAACATGGTCAAGGGTTATTTAGACAACCAATTTAGCATCAAAGACTTGGGAAAATTAAAGTATTTTCTTGGCTTCGAAATCACCCGTTCACCAGAAGGATTTGTTTTAAGTCAACGCAAGTATACTCTTAACATCTTGGCAGAAACAGGAACTCTCGCTGGCCGTCCTAGCTTATTTCCATTGGAGCAAAACTTAAAGCTTCGTCCTGATGATGGTAGTCCATACGTGGAGGCTTCTTCATGTCGTCGGTTAATTGGGCGCCTGTTATACCTCACCGTCACACGACCAGACATAGTCTTCTGAAGCTGACTGATACACGTGCTCGTATCAATGTGCACTTTGTAAGTTATGTATGCTCATTTGATACTGATGTTATGCTCGTATTTCAAAAGTATCATGTTACATTAGACTCGCATATTGAAATTAATAGGAGTGAATTTTAGGTATAATTTAATAAGTTTTTATAGCAGAAAAAAAGATTTAGAAGATATGAAGCAGAGATTGTGATACTCATTGTTAGTTTTATAATACTCAATACAATATGTGAGACACTCAACAAAACTACATTATTGCTCATTTAGCGGGAGCCATGATTTTTCTCTTAAATTACAAAACTGCCACCGAAAAAAATAGGCTGTTTTAATTAAATGGGCTGTCTTTCTTAAGTGGGTCTTTTTTGTGGGCCTTCCGTTGGATTCATTTAATTCTATTCAAATTGTGTTATTAAAATTGGACTGAAGCTTAATTTTCTAATAGACCTCAATGTAAAAGCGGCCTTTTGTTGGGGGCAGCTGCCCCCTAAACACAACGTGTATCCGCCCATGGGCCATCATCTTTTCTTCTACAGCCATCCATTCTTATTGTTATGTTTTATTTTGTCTTTTTGTTATGTTTTTTATTCCACTTTCTTTTGTTTTGTCTTTTTTTTTTTTACTTCTTTTCCTTTCTTTATTTGTTGTTTACTCCGTACTTCTTTTAGTATTTATATATATATTATACCGAGCACATTAGAATTGAGTTTTACCTTAAATTTAAATGAGTAAAACGTCTAAAAAAATGAACATACATAAATGAGCTTTTAAATTTTTGAATACTCATTTTGTAAATTATGTATATTCATTTAGTATCTCTGTTATGCTCATTTTAAAAATGTTTTAGCAATGCGCATTTCAAAAGTCTCATATTACATTAGATTTATATAAGAGTTGATTATAGACACGAGACCACAAATCTTGATACTCAATTGCAGATTCTTATACTCAATAACAGAGGTTTAATGCTCACTGACAATGTCTTGATGCTCAACGAATAAAACTTACAATTTTCATATCAATGCTCATCTTGTAAATTACATATGCTCATTTGTATAGGTCTGGTGCTCATTAACAATACATTAATGCTCATTTAATAGAATTCATGATTTTTATCAATCTCAATAGACGATGTTTGATACGTATGCTCATATGAGACTGATCATATGCTCATTTTATAAATGTCATATCAATCCATTTTAAAAGTACTACGGAGTATTTTATATTAGACTCCTAATACTCAATATAATAGGTCTGATGTTCATTAAAAGTTCATTATTACTCATTCTCCAGAAGTCGTGATTTTCATCTCAATAGTGGATGTTGATGCTCAATTAAAATGTCACGATGTTCAACTTACAAAGTGCACATTGATATGAAAATCGCAAGATTTTTTAATTGAATATCACGAAATTTTAATTGAGCATCAAATGTCCACTATTGGGATGAAAATCACGGTTTCTGGTAAATGAGCATTAATGAACTGCTAATGAGCATCAAATCTATTATGTTGAGTATTAGAAGTTTAATATTCAGAATCGTGATCTCTGCTTCATAACTTCTAATTCACTTTCTTTTGTTATTTTTCCTTTTTAAAAACTTATTAAATTATATTTCTAATCAACTCCTATGAAAATAGTACTTTAAAGCAAATGCATTGATATGACATTTAGAAAATGAGCATTAGATCAGTATCGGATGAGCATACGTAACTTACAAAGTAGTTTGATTTGAAAATCGCAAAGTTGTTAGTTTGACATAACAACATATTCATTGAGCATCAAATCTCATCTATTGAGATGAAAATCACAATTTTTGTTAAATGAGTATTAATAAACTTTTAATGTGCATCAGACCTATTATGAGTATTAAAACACTTTCGATGAGCATCAGGCTTATTAGGAACCTAATAATATATAATAAAATTATAAATATATTTATATAAATTAATAGTATGATTCATAGATCAAATAAATACTTCAAAAATATGAACTAGTCTTTTAATATAGCAGTAATGAGCAAAAGTAAAGAATAGTTAATATTAATTACTATTAATAAACAATTGTAGTACAGAGTATGAAAATGTGTAGAATAAGGAATATCAAACAACGGATTTTCTTGACCAGACAAGATGGCAAGATGGATGGAAGGCCGCATGCTATAATAAACTTTTTAATGTGCATCAGACCTATTTAATATCAAACCGGTTCTATGGATGGAAGAAACGGTTTACTCAGTTTTAAAAACCGGGTGTACCTACACCCGGGTGTACAATATATGCAATCTGCCCTTAGTGAGTTGGGTGTGTTAGTTGACAAGGGAAATGTTCGTTTATTAACGGTAACCAAACAAACAAAATCGTATTCTCTGTAACGCCATCCACAAACCTCTATTTCCCTCTTTTCTCTGCACCTCCAGGTTCCTCCTATTGAAAGCAAAGTTCCCACCTGACAATTTTTTAAGAGTGAATGTGGAGGGGACTTGCGGGGGAAGGATCGGAAAACAACAACGTTTCGTGAAGACCCAGCAACCCCCCCATGTTTTGGGTGTTTCTTGTCCATTTCAAGCTTCGAATTGGTCCCCAATTCTGAACCATGCATATATATGCCCATAAAAATGCGTACATATGCGCATACACATTTTTAAGAATCGTTAAACCTAATTCAGGTTGGCGGGTTGAATTTATTGAATTCGGGTTTTCTGAGCATTTCTAAGATTCTTAGGGGGTGATTTTCCCCGATCTTGGTGCAAAAGATGGCTCTTTTTCGCAAGTTTTTCTACAGGAAGCCTCCTGAAGGGCTTTTGGAGATATCTGAAAGGGTTTTTGGTATGTTTTTTATCTTTCGTTTTTTGTGTGTTGAATTTCTTGAAGTCTGAATTCAATTTGTGCATTGCCGTGAAATGACTATTAGAAGTTTTCAATTTGTGCATTGCCCGTGGAAAGAAGCAGAAGCAGAATCAGTTCCAAACACCCCTAAGATGGATTTATAGTAGTTATAACATTAATTGTATTAAGGACACATCAATATGTGGTTATTAAATTTAGTACCTCCTTATAGTCTCCTTAACTTTGCATAAAACCTCTCCTTGGTTGTTTCCTGGTTTTGTGATTCTCTGTCCACCCATCAGTAATTGCGACTAAAACTGCAGTCAATGATTGTATTAAAGTTAACAATGACTCACTATGATCATAAAGCTACTTATTATAATCATTGTGCTTATGCTGCCGCTAATAAGTAGAATAACTGAATAAGCGCCAGAACGGGCTACCACACATACTCTGCATTATTGTGTATCTAAATCACATGGTGCTGATCTTTGCTACTGTTTATTTGGCTTAACAGTCTTCGATTGCTGCTTTACCAGTGATGTTCTTGAAGATGACGAGTACGCCCTCTACATGGGTGGCATTGTCCATAACCTATGCAACCATTTTCCCGAAGCTTCGTTCATGGTTTTCAACTTTAGAGATGGGGAATATGAAAGCCAGATAGAGGCCATACTCGAGGACTACGACATGACCGTGGTTAACTACCCCCACCATTTTGAGAACTGCCCCGTACACACAATGGAGACGATCTATCACTTTTTGAAGTCGAGTGAGACTTGGCTATCTGTTGGTCCTCAAAACGTGCTTTTATTGCATTGTGAGTTCGGGGGGTGGCCCATTTTGGCCTTCATGCTGGCCGCACTATTGATATTCAGGAGGCAATACACCGGGGAACATAAAACATTAGATATTGTTTACAAGCAAGCACCGCGTGAGCTTCTTGAATTGATGCTACCATTAAATCCACTGCCTTCACAACTGAGATACCTGCAATATGTGTCCAGAAGAAATTTGGGTTCTGAATGGCCACCCCTTGACAGGGCACTTACATTAGAGTGCGTCATCATTAGACACATTCCTGTTATGGACGGGGAAGGAGGCTGTCGTCCTATATTTAGGATATATGGGCAAGATCCCTTCATGGCTGCTGATAGGACACCTAAGGTTCTATTTTCTACACCCAAAACACGCAATGTTGTCAGACAGTATAATCAGGTGAGGGGCTTTTATTCTTCCCTTTTTCTTTATTCATATCGCGCCTAGGGGTTGTTCGGTATGGCACACTGGAAATTTTATCTCACACCTTATGCCGTACAGAAACTTTCTGCTTACAACCATTACCTAACCAAAATTTGTGTAGACCACACTTTTGTATACTGACATTATGGTATGGTAAAGGTATGATTATATCTTGCATCGAAAATTTGATATACCAAAATTGAAATATGGTATAGGAGTAATACCATGCCATGGTGAAATATCGATAAACCAAATTATTATATACCGAATGAATTGAACTAAATTGTTATCATTAGTACTATTCTAAAATGAATAATAAAAACATGTTCGAAATACTAATAATAGCTTATTCATGATGCAATATTCAATTTTGGTCAAGATTTCTAATATTTACTAGTATATTTTAACATCTCAACACATAATTAAAAAGGGGTTTTTCCTAAAATATGAAATCTAAGCTTATTTCCAAAAAAGTGACTTATTTTATATATGGCCAAAAATGTGACTAGCAAAGTAATTGTTAGTTCACAAAAGGGGTTATATGCATGAATAATTATAACCCTAGGGGGTTGGATGCATTTTTGAAATCACAGGGACATTAAACCCTCTTTTTTTGCACGAGTTTATAGTTTTAGTAAATTTTAGAGTAAATTACCTAAATAGGACTAAAAATGCCTAAAAATCACAAATAGGACTGCCTTGTTTTAAATTCCCGTAAATAGGACTAATCATGTATGTTTGGACAAATATACCGCTGTAGCATTTTGGATATGACTCTATAAGGGAGTCATATGGGGC